AGGCTGCCCCCAGCTCTCAGAATGTCTGTAATCGCCTTTCGCCTAGTTAACACTGTCTGGGAATCTCACTGACACTGAGTTCCATCTTCACACTCAACGCTGTTCTTCTTATTTCTTTTCAGCATCTTTTCACCTTAATTAAGGCGACACGCGTCCTTGCCCTGCGATGAGCATCCCAGCGGGGCCACACGACCTGCAGCCTCCCGAGTCAGAGGGCCCAGCTCATGCTCAGAGAGCAACCCAAACAAAACCTCGAGGAACGTCTGTTCAAAAGAATAACTTTTTCTTGGCACACACACAGGAGAATCAGATATTATCTAGTAGAAACTAGAGTGATGACACGAGGGTCAGATCCAAGAATAGACAACAGTTCTGAAACCTATGACAAAAACGGCTGATAAAGAAAATGTGCATAGACCTACAAGAAGCAAAAATAACATTACAATGGGGAAAAACTACATTTCTTCATTGTATTATTTTTAAAATATTTCTTTACTGATTTGAGAGAGAGAGATGGAAACATCGGTGAGAGAACATCAATTGGCCGCCTCCTGCATGCCCCCTGCGGGGGGATCGGGCCCACAACCTGGGCATGTGCCCGGACCAGGAATCAATCAAACTGGTGACCTCTTGGTGCATGGGTCGACGCTCAACCAGTGAGCCACACTGGCCAGGCAAAAACTGTATGCCTTTAAAACCGTCTAATGAATTAACCAACTCAACTATAGCAATTGATACACATACTTTGGACAATAATAATCAAACTCTGTAGTTGTTACCAATCAAAATGAGCCCCAAGATCAACATATGACATTAAGCCAAACATTTCATGTTAAAAACAATAAAACACACAAGTGACCACAGCAAAACCAAAGCAACATGCCAACATGCTCAAGAAACCTGTGGTTGGATCTCATTGTGGCCAGTTTGTTCAATGTAAGGTTAATTCATTCAGAAAACTTGCGCAAGTCAAAAAGATGAAAGTTCTGCAACGATAGAGAAATTTGCAGCTATCTCTTAACACTGCAAAACCTCAGCCTATAAACACCAACAGTGTAACAGTGAAAAGTCATGGAGCCTCAAATACGATGACTATCACTAAATTTGTGAGGACATCTGAGAACAAACAACTTTTGCATCCTATTAGAAGTTACCACAATAATACCCATAATATCCAGGACTCCCTGAAACAAGGCGTCAGTAGAACCTCTGCCAATGTTACAATTTGGAAAGGGTCTCATGAGAAAGAATTCCTACAATTAAATAGTTTTATCGAGCATTAAAACCAGTTCTTCTCAGGAACTAAAAAGAAAAGACAAGCTCTGGCCGGTTTGGCTCAGCGGTTAGAGCGTCGGCCTGCGGTCCAGAGAGGCCCGGGTTCGGTTCCCGCTAAGGGAACGTACCTCGGTTGCAGTTTGTCCCCGGCCCTGGTTGGGTCGTGCGGGTGGCAACCACTCGATGTGTCCCTTTCACATCGATGTTTCTCTCTCTCTCTCCCTCCCACTCTATCTGAACAAAAAATGGAAAAATGTCCTCGAGTGAGGATTAAAGAAAAAAAAAAAGAAAAAGAAAAAAGAAAATATCAAGATTGCAGATGGGTACAGCCACTATGTAAAACAGTATGAAATGTCCTCAAAAAATTAAAAATTGATCTGCCATTTTACCCAGTGATCCCACTTCTAGGAATACATCCTAAGAGGCCTGAAACACCAATCAGAAAGAATATATGCACCCCTATGTTCATAGCAGTGTTATTCACAACAGCTAAAATCTAGAAACAGCCCAAGTTCCTATCAGCAGATGAATAGATAAAAAAGCTGTGGTACATATACACAATGGAACACTAGGCAACTATAAAAAAGAAGGCTCTCTTGCCCTTTGAGACAGCATGGATGGACCTGGAGAGTATTATGCTAAGCAAAATAAGCCAGTCAGAGAAAGACTAGTATCACATGATCTCACTGATATGTGGAATCTAACAAACAAAATAATCTGATAAACAAAATAGAACCAGAGGCATGGAAACGGATCAGACTGACGACTCTCAGGGGGAAGGGGGCAGGGGACAGGAAGAGATTAACCAAAGAACTTATATGCATATAACATTACCCATAGACACGGACAATAGGGTGGTAAAAGCCTGGGGCAGGATGGGGACCGGAAGGAGGGGGGCAACCTATAATTCTAAAACACTCAATAAAGATTTTTTTTTTTAAAGTATCACATCTTAAATTACAGATGGGCCTGCTCCATCTTCTGATACCAAACTGACAGAAAAGTAGAAAAGCACTGAGCAGCACGGACATATTATAGCCAGAGCACCTATCGACAGTAAGTGGGCTCAGCGCAAAGAAACCACTGAAGAGAAAAGCTCATCTGAGTGAGCAGAGAGCTAGCGCAGGAAGGATGCTGAAAAGCCTCCTAGCTCAGTAGTTACAAAGCCTGAATCTGAAGGACACAATGAAAAACCAGTCGGGCCCTTCTGGACAACCATGGCAGAAGAAGACAAAGATTATTTACTGAAAAAGTAAACAAGATACTTTCTGAAGGCCTAAACCTGATTAATCAGGGATGCCCCAAAGAAGAAACACTGGACACACTGAGTGACCTGATTAAAAATATTACAGCTGCAAGCCCGGCCAGTGTGGCGCAGTGGTTGAGCGTTGACCCCTGCAACAAGAGGTCTCCGGTTCGATTCCCGGTCAGGGCACATGCCCAGGTTGTGAGCCCGATCCCCAGTGGGGGGCATGCAGGAGGCGGCCAATCGATGTTCTCTCTCATCGATGTTTCTATCTCTCTCCCTCTCTGTTCCTCTCTCTCTAAGATTAATTTTAAAAAATTTTTTTTAAATATTGCAGATGCCAAAAAACTTTTTAAATATTGGCGATGCCTCGCATGTGTAGAACCACTCACAAGTTCTATTGGAAATATTATCTCAATCCAGATGAAGGCCATTCTGACAGGAGCTCAGCCTATTGAAGAAATGTGACATGCAATTGTAAATATTCTAACAATGAAAAGTCAAGAAAAAGTTAAATTTGACAAAAATTTAGAAGAGGCTTGTGCAACCAAGGACCGAATCTAAGATGTCAACATTGAATATATTGGTGTTAATTTAGAGTCAGGAAAACCTGAAATGGAAAATAAAAATCATAGAAATGCGGTATTTTGAGATTGTGAAAATCAGCAAGTGAGTCAAATAAACCATCCAACCAATGATGGTAAAACCCCCAATACAGAAGCTAAGGAGGGTTGCTTAATTAAATATAATGTGTCTACCACACCCTTCTTGCAAAGTGTGAAAAAGAAAATGCAGTTTGATTTTTAAAATTCCACATTTAAAGAGCTAAAGTTGCTAACACCAGTTAGACGTTCTCAACGTCTTCAACACAAGACTTTTAAATTGCCTGACATGTTAAAAAACCATTATCCTCGTGTGTCTTCATTGGAACAGTTAACAGAGTTGGCAGATGGAACTGATGTGCTAATATGTCACCCTCCTGCAGGTGCCGCGAGTATTTGGAGACAGAAACAACAAAAGAGAAACGAGGTTTTCAGTATCCCTGGGATGTTTTGTTTGTTTGTTGTGGCTTCACATGTCTCTTAGGTCAGGAGTTGGCCAAGTATCTAAGTATTCATGGCAGTAAGCTTTTCTTCTCCTAATTTTTTTTTTTTTTTTTTTTTTTTACTAACACTCACATTATAACACGTTTTGCCTTCTGTGTTGGAAAGCTAAACCCTCCATTGTCTATCTCAACAGACGAAGAATTTCTTTAGTAGGTGGGTAAATTTGGCAACTAGTTAACTATGTTCCTTGACTATAGTTAATGCACGTCATTCTAGTTTCGGTGGTATTTCTAAAGTAACTAATACTTAAACTTGCTTTGAAATAGAAAACTTAACTGTTAGATCATGTCCCCTGAAACCTGACAGTTATAGGTTGTAATTTCTTTTTTATTAATTTATTTTTGTTACAGATGCTTCTCCTTTTTTTCCCCATTGACACCCTCCTCCCCATCCTCCCCACCCCATCCCCAGCTTTGTTGTCCGTGTCCATCGGTTATATGTACATGGATATAAGTTCTGTGGTTCATCTCTTCCCTCTCCCCACCACCCCCTCTTCTGAGGGTTGTCAATCTGTACCCTACTTCCATGTCTCTGGGTCTACCCCATTCCTCAGACTGTTATGTTCATTATATTCCACAAATAAGTGAGAACATATGAAACTTGTCTTTCTCTGTTTGGCTTGTTTCGCTTAGGATACTACTTTCCAGGTCCCTCCATGTCATCTCAAAGGATAAGAGATCTTCCTTTCTTACAGCTGCATAGTACTCCATTGTGTATATGTACCACACTTTTTTATCCATTCGTCTACTGATGGACACTTGGGCTGTTTCCAGACCTTAGCTATTGTAAATAGTGCTGCTATGAACATGGGGTGTACCTTCAATTTTGCTAACCAACAGAACAGCTACTTTATCGGACGTGGGCATAGCAGCACTTTGTACCTAGGCTCACAGCTGAGCAGGATGCTTGTCCTTATTTTTCCACTTATAACAGTGTTGTCAATATCCATCACGACTTGAAATGTTCAAGCCCCCCAGGAAGAGTGTTAATTGTTGCTGCTCTGTGTCAACACAATGGACATCAGAGCTTATAAGGCTCATCTCCCCATATCAGTTTTTCTCTCTTCATCTCGCCCTCTTCTTCCCTCCACCACCGCCTCATCCAGAACATATTATAATTTGGTAAAACAAACAAATGAAGAGAAAAAGACTCTTTCAACAACATATTACCTTGAATGGGTTACCAAAAATCTGGAGTCCTCCATGTAGGGGGACAAGAAATACAGATGATTTGATGAGAGAAATTTGACACAAGTCATCAATAATATTTTGAATTTTTCTACCAAGCACACAATTCGCTTTATAATCCAAAGGGAATTAAGTGCAATGATTTTGCACTCTATAGATCATTTAAAAAATGGAAGTACTTCATACCTCTGTTTATATTAATGAGCTGTTTCTTTTTCTTCTGGCGTTCCAACTTTTCTTGTTCGGCTTTCTCTTTCGCAAGCTTCGCCCTCCTAGTCTTCTCTTCCATTTCTTTTCTCTTGTTGTTTTCTTTTACTGCTTCCTGTGCGTATAAACAAAGGTAAACAGAAATCCTTCCATTACTTATATATTGGAGAAGCTGGACGATTTTATAATTACATATTCACACATGCACTTGGGTGCTCACAAATAGTCAAGTATTACAGTAGCGTCAAGGTGCATACATATACTTTGAAGAAAAAACAATAATCCTAAGACACTGAAAAAATTTAGAATTAACTTAGGCTTTAAATATGTTTTCTTTGTGTGTGTTTTTTTAACTGATTTTAGAGAGAGAGGATGGAAGAGGGAGAGAGAGAAAGAGAAACCTCAATGTGAGAGAGAACATTGATCGGCTGCCTCCTGCACGCCCCCTACTGGGGATTGAGCCTGCAACCCGGGCATGTGCCCTGACCGGGAGGGGAACCGGCAACATCCCCATGTATGGGATGACGCTCAACCACTGAGCCACACCGGTCAGGCCTCACTCAGGCTTTAATTGACATTACCTAGGGTGCCAGAAAATTAGGGACATGAATGTTTACAGATTTAACCAATAAACATACTTTCTCTGTTATTGAAATATGAAACAGTTTTGATTTACAAGAAACAATTTAATGCCCGGCCGGTGTGGCTCAGCAGTTGAGCATTGACCCATGCACCAAGAGGTTGCTGGTTCGATTCCCGGTCAGGGCACATGCCCAGGTTGTGGGCCCGATCCCCAGTGGGGGGCGTGCAGGAGGCGGCCAGTCGATGTTCTATCTCATCCATGTTTCTCTCTCTCCCTCTCCCTTCCTCTCTCTATTAAAAAAAAAAAAAAAAAAAGCACCAAGAAAAGATTTAATATGGAAATATAGCTAAGCAAGTATTTTACAACTTTATTGTATCTTTTGCGTTTATCTGCAAAATGGGGGTCTAAAAAAACAAAACTACCTTATAAGATTTTTGTGAGGAAAAGTGAGATGCACTTATAAAGTGCTTAGAACATTCAGTCTGTGGTGGTGATGGTGGTGGTTGTGGTGGAATGGTTTCGACCGGTGCAAGGCATGGAATAATCAGCCATATTATCACAGGAAAGAAACACCTGAAGTGCCATAGCTTTTTACACGCCAGGACCTTTAGAAATGCTGAAACAGATTTCAAGCTATTGTCTGTTTTATTTTCGATAGATTATTTATGGCACGCTAGTGACTCAGGACATTCTAGTAGATGGTACGGGCTAAAGTTGAAGTGACGTGATCAGCTGGAATAATAATATTAACTTCCTTTGAGGTCAGAAAATTCACTAATACGGAGGCATATCAACGGCAGGTGTCTTCCATCAAGCTGTTCTGTTTCTTTTTTCCCATTATGATTGATTGGATATACCTCATAGCATGTACCAGCTATTTCACAAAAACTGTTTTGTTCCAGAAACCCTAAAGAAAAGGACTCAATAACAAGAACACATCTACAAGACTTTGCCTGGAGGTGTCTGTATCGAAATATTTCTCTTCATATTAGACACAATAGTTTTTAAAAGCCCTGAAAACACTTTCCAAAAAAAAACCTCTGACTTGCAGGAATTATTGGCGCCCCTCCCTTCCACTGCGCCAGCAGGCTGGTACTTCAAGTGTTAGGCTAAGAGCACAGGGCGATCTGACTCCTGCAGACAGACTACCAGTGAAAAGCAGCTGGGATAACAGAAATAGAATTTTAGAGCAGGGTTTCTCAACCTCGGCCCCGCTGTCGTTTGGGTCTGGCGGATTCTCTGTTGTGGGAGCGGTTCTGTGCATTGTAGCATGTTTACCAGCATCCATCACCTCTACTCACTGGGTGCCAGGAGCAACCGTCCCCAGTTGTGACATCCAAAAATGTCTCCAGAGACTGCCAAACGTAACCCAGGTGGAGAACTACTAACCTGGGCGGTTTCACAGAGATCATTTATCCACCAAAAAATTACCAAGTGCCTTCTCTGCGGAACCCAGCTTCTTTTCACGAATGTGGAAACTGAGTTCCCAGTGGGTGTGAGTCCTTTCCTGAGCCCACACGTTTCTGTAATTGCAAAGGTGGGAACAGAGCTCATGTCTCTTTACTCCTGGTTTAGTGTGGGTTTTATTCTTCAAGGATGGAACGATAATGATTGATATAATACCAAAAGCATAAGCAACCGAAGAAAAATAATAGATAAATATGACTCCATCAAAACTAAAAACTTTTACCCATCAAGGGACACTGTCAAGAAAGTAAAGAGATAACCCATGCAGTGGAAGAAAATATTTGCAAATCATTTTCCTGATAAGAATATATAAAAACTCTTACAACTCAACAACAAAAAGACAAATAACCCAATTAAAAATGGGCCAAGGATTTGAATAGATCTTTCTAGGAAGAAAATAGACACATAGCCAACCAGTACATGAAAAGATTGCCTGATGTCATTAATCACTAGAAAACTGCAAATCAAAATCACAATGAGGTACCACTTCACACTCACTAGGACGGCTGTAATGATAATAGAAAGCAGATAATAACAAGTGAGGGTGTGGAGAAATCGGGAACTCTTTGCATTACTGTGGTGAATGTAAAATGGCCCTGGCCGGTTTGGTTCAGCGGTTAGAGCATTGGCCTGCGGACCAAAGAGACCCGGGTTTGGTTCCCGCTAAGGGCACATACTCTCAAAAAGACAAAAAAAAAATTAAAAAAAAGGTGAGTCACTTTGGGAACGAGTTGCTTAAAATGTTAAAGAGTTACAATGTGACTCAGTAATTCCACTCCTAGATACAGACCCAAGGGGGAAAAGAAACCACATGTTTGTTCATACAGAAACTTGTATAAGAATGTTCATAGCAGCATTATTCCTTAGAATAGTCAATAAGTGGAAACGACCCAAGTGTCCATCAACTGATAAACAGATAAAGAAAATGTGTTAAATACAACGGAATATTATTCAACCATAAAAAGAATGAAGTGCTGATACATGCGGCAACATGGATGGACCTTAAAATATTGCGCTAAGTGAAAGAAGTCAGACAGAAAGGCCACATATGGTATGATTTCATTTATATGTAATATCCAGAATTAGGCAAACACATAGAGACAGAAAGTAGATCAGTGGATGGGAGAGGGGGAAATGGGGAGCAACTACTGATGAGTATGGGCTCTTCTGGGAGCTGATGAAAATATTCTGGAATAAGATAGTGGTGTTGGTTATACAGCCTTGTGAATATAATAAAAACTACTGAACTGTATACTTCAGAGTGGGCCATTTTATATTATATCTCAAAAAAATTTTAAAATTGGTGTTTGAGACAGGCAGGATTGAAGTACAACTGTGACTTAAAAAAAACACATAAATAATGTGAAAAAACAACCTATATTCAGGCTGTGATACTAACAAGTTATATGACCTTTGGTAAGTAACAAAACAGGCAAGTAATAGAGGAGAGGAGGGCGGTTAATGCTGGTATATATTTTATTACTGGTCGAAATCTGATTTGGTAATGAGTCACCAACATCTTGGTGGACTCTTTTATTATTCACTGAATGAAGCTCAAAAAAAGCTGCTCACTTCCACTTAGATTTCTTCCTTGTTCTGATAACAACTACTCTTTCACTATTATGTGCTAGGTGTTTTAAGTAAATACTTTCTAATCTTTATAGAAAACCGCAAAGGAGCTACTATTTGTTCTCATTTTACAGATGATGGAACTTAGGTTCAGGTAAGTTAAGTGAGATGCCCAAGGCTACCCAGTTACCTAAGTACCAGAACCATGAGTGTTCACGCCTTCCAAGTAGAGTTGCCAAATAAAATACAGGGTGCTCAGTTACATTTTACTTTCAGGTATACTACAATTTTTTTTTTAAGTGTAAGTATATCCCATACTATACTTAAGCAAGTCATGTAATGTTTGGGACACATTGATGTGAAAATTATTCATAATTTATACAATACTTGGAATATACGTACACTAAAAAAAATCATGTAAAATCTGGGACACTTTGATACTAAAAAAAACATTCATGCTTTATCTGAAATTCAAATTTATATGGGCATCTATTTTTCTTTGATAAATCTGGCAATCCTATTCCTAAGAGTTTTTTATAGGTATCCTTTCACAGACTAAGATCATCTAATGAAAACTGTAGAATGATTACAAAAAACACAAAAAAGCCCAAATATAAGCCATATTTTGAAAACAGAAATGTTGATATAGATTACTGATGGGCATTCCGAGGGTCATGGACTTGAATTATATTATTTCTGTAGCATTCTCTCTATATTCCTTCCCTTTATATTTCTTGAAAATGGAGTAAAACAAACAAAAACATGATTATATCTGGCCCTGGCCAGTTTGGCTCAGCGGTTAGAGCATTGGCCCACAGACCAAAGAGTCTCGGGTTCAATTCTGGTCAAGGGCACGTACCTCGGTTGCGGTTCGGACCTAGCCCTGGTCAGGGTCATGCAGAAGGCAGCCAATCAATGTCTCTCTCTTTCTCTCTCTCTCTCTCCCTCCCTCCCACTCTATCTGAGGATAAATGGAAAAACATCCTTGAGTGAGGATTTAAAAACAAAATGTTTCTATCTAAACTGATAGAATTGGGGTAGAAGGAAGTAAGTCAACAATATCGATAATGAAGAAATTTGGCAGATGTAGACGGGTTCATTTTCTATATAAAATGGAGGCTTGAATTTGGCAACATACACATAGTAAATGATGAAACAGACCAAGCAATAGGTATGTTTTGGAATAGATTTAACTACAAAACAAGCACATGATTTGAAATGGCGTGCATTAACCTAAAGAGACCAAAAGGGAAGAGGAAGATAACTTCTGTGGTTTGGCAGCAATGTAAATGAATGAAAGCATCTACAAAGACATATATGTGTTCAAGCCACACAGACTGCGAAGTCTGATTCTGGTCCTGATGCCACGAGTTCTGTCTTCATGAAGAGGCCTCATGCTGAAAAGAAGACCCTATTCCTCTTGCTCTGACTTAAAAAAAAATTAGGCGTGGGAAACACATGCCTGTTTAATTCTTTCTCCTTAAGAGAAAATATTA